TTGCGTGTTCTAGCTCGGTTAGCATCCACTTCACAGGTTAAGTGTTAAGATTTGTCTTCAACTTTCCTTCTTTCGTATAGAATCGAAATGTCTTCCAAATGTTAGATTTTAGATTTGACGGCGCACTGGAAATGGCGTCTGCGGTTTACAAAAAAGAAGCTTATAAAGTTTGTTAAAAATTATAAAAAAAATACATAATACAGAGGATTGTATAAAAAGTTCCCTAAAACAGGAAATAATCTGCTCAGAATTCATCCAAATCTCTGGTTTTACACAAACTTCCTGCAGTTCCTGAGTTCACTGTTTGGGTTCATTGGACAGTTCTGAATATAACATGTTATTATAGTTGGATAAATGATGTAAAAGTGGTTTAGTATCCAGTACCTTTTACCTTTGTTGGTAGATTTGGTTGGTATTCATGTTCTTGCTGTGACAGTCTTATTGACCTCTCAGCCTCAGGCTTTGCTTCAGTCTGCAGCTGTTTGACTGTGGAGGAATATATGAGCCTGCAGCACGTCCTTTACCCTCTTTATTATTATTGTTATTATTATTGTTATTATTGTTATTATTACAGACGTTAGCCTGCTAGCTGACTACGAGCCATAGTTTCCTGACACATTGAGGCTCTGAGACATTAAACGTCGGTAGAATAACACATCCATACACTGGCAGGTTAAAGGTTTATAGTAACGTTAAACACAAGCTGTACTGACAGTTATTCAACATGAACTGTCTGTTATTTAATGACTCTGACCCTCTGTCGTACAATAACCGTCAAAAAACAGCATTTTTTGTTCTTAAATAGGAATATAAAGATCTACGAGGGTTTATTGTATATTCTTTAAGACTTTAATAACTTGAAAAGTACAGAAAACACCACAAGATCAAACATTAACTCACCTTTCTCCTGTTGACAGGACGATGGTCACTGACCCCGGAACTCAAACCCGCGCACTGAATTGTGGGTATTGTAGTTTTGGGGGTGCGTAAATTTTAGGCCAATAATAACAATACGCGCTGCTTGCAGTGAGTGAGTTTTTTGTTTTTCACTTTATTTTCTCCGGTTGCAGCTTCAGAAATAAAGATAACGGATGAGATGTTCCGTTAAACACGTTTATTGTAGTCCACAACCCGCTTCCGCGTTTAGAAAGGCGGATCTATGGGTAACGGGTGCCGGGAAGGAGGTCAACGGTGAAGCACCTCGTCTGTTTTTATTCTTTAATGGAGAATTATTGAATAAAAAGTGGTGATATATAATGTATATAATATGCAGTATAATAATAATAATAAAGATGGTTACATTTTGTTACCCATTAAATGAGTGTCGCAGGTTAGATTTAGTATCGAATATTGAATATTTTTGTGATTTCTGTGAATTAGAATAAGAAACAATTTGCCATCTGTTCTTTCATTGTATAAAGTAAATAAATAAGGAGAATTAGGATTTTAAAACCTTTTTCTTGGTTTTGAGGGCAATAAGATCGACACAGATTTTTTTTCATATATAAAATGGATGAATCCACACTAAAGAACTCTGTCAAGAACTGAACTACAAGTTAAATTACATGTAGTTCCCTACCGTCTTTCACCAAACAAAAGATCACACAGTTGTCCCCACACAGACAACCAGGGGCAGTTGGCCACTTTGCCTTTTGGTTAATTCAGCTTTGGTGTAAACAGCAGACACTCACACTCTTTATTCAAATACTTTAATCACAAAGCTTATAAAACTCCCCCCACAAACAAACCTCCTCACCAGCATAAATGAATAGTGACTTTTAGCAGAGCTTGTAGATTAGAAACATATTTAAAGCCATTCTAAACTGAATGTAATGTAAATGTAAATTTATTATTTTACAAACATCACAAATGGTTTGGAAACACAAGGTCAAAAAACAAATAATGTTTTATTTTATATCCTAAAATCATACATTCATAAGTGTGCATTTATGTCGTGCTGTTACTCACAAAAAGTGAGTTTAAGGATGACAATATAAAACAAATTATTTGTAAAATTAAATGTAAAATCACATTTAAGGGTACAATAATTCATTACATTTAAACATCCTGACGTGTGACTCCAAAGACACTAAAAACACTAATAACAGTTTTGTGTTGCAGAGGAACAGATGAGAGAGGCTGGTTCAGACTGGTTCCCAGTTACAGGCTCATTTCACCAACTGGGTGCGAGCGCGTTCAGTCCCTTCAAAGCCACCTCAAACCCCAAAAAACAGGCCTGAGGGAGGAAGAGAGGGAGGAAGGGAATTAAAGGCCGATGAAGCTGTTCACTTGTTATCCGGCAGTAAAGGAGCAGAAACATGTTTAAGAGTCGGGCTGCACCATATGGTAAAAACATCATATTAGGATCATTTAGACGTGATGTGATTCACAAATTATCATTCATGCATCACAACTTTAACTTTCACTGAAAGAAATAATTAAAATCATGATTTTGGGGGGTTTGTACCAAAAAACATGTTGTATTAAATCTGGAGAGTAAGATACTGTAGGTCAGAGCGTCTCTGCAGCACCTCATTATAATGCTGTTTGTCTCACGTTTTACTTTTATCAAAAAGTATTTGGATATTACACTTTTATTAATCGTGCAGCCCTAATTAAGAGTAAAATATGAGAGCAAAGATGTACCGCGTTGGCAGGGAAGGCTCGCAGAAAGACGGCATTGAATCCCTTATAGAGGGCTGTAGGTCCTTCTTCTCTCAGCAGCGTTCTCAGGACGTCCACCAGACCTCTGTACTTCCCATCTGCAGCTGCACACACGTGCTGTCAGTCTGGCAAACAGCACACAGACACACATCACACATGACTACACCACAGACAGGACAGACACACACTACAAACACACCACCAGTTTTAACATGCAATGCCCTACGTTTATAAATCATGTCAACACAGGCGGGTACTCTAGATAATCTAAGGTAACGAAAACACAAAGGTGATTATACACTAATGAAAAAATAGCTATGGATATTATTTTCCATTTCTGACAATAGAACCTAAATGTTTCACGCTGGACCTTTAATGTCATAAACCAAAATAATCACCATAACGTCCATCTGTCTCCCTGTAGACTACAGTCATTCTGCACCACAGAGCACTGCCCTGTCTCCAACACTGTCTGTCTCTGACTCACGTACCTGTCTGGAAGTTGGACTTGAGGACATCCGGAGGAAGAGCGATCGTCCAGTTTAATATCCCTGCTACACCACCAGCCAGGATGATTTTGGGAGTGCTGAGCTGAGAAACACTAGCAACACATAACACAGGTGAGGTTTACAGGATTTAAAAGATTTAAACACTTCTTCCAGTGGTGGAGGTATAGCACTATCATATATGATATCATTAGATTGTTATGACTCATGCATTAATGTAAAAGCAGGATTTAACTGGTGTAGTTGGTTGAGGCGGAGGCTCATTTTGAACTATTTTGCTGCAACTAATGATTATTTTCATTATGGATTCATCTGCTGATTATTTTCTCCATGAATCCATCGATTGATTGGTGAGAAATTACCCAGAACCCCAAGTGACACCTTCACAATGCAGAATGCTTGTTCAACCAAAAGCCCAAACCTTAAAATTATTATAAATGCATTTAAATTATTAAAATCACTCAGAGGAAGAACAGCAAATCTTCACATTTAAACTTTGTGTGCAAAAATCTTACAATCTAACTGAAGCTGTCAGATAAATGCAGTGGAGCAAATGAGATGAAAGTACATTAAACTTGTACTTAAGCACAATACTTGAGTAAATGTACTTAGTTACATTCCACCACTGCCCTCTCCACTGTAACCACGGTTACTCACCTTTGACCCTCAGGTGTCAGGAAGCGTTTGAGGTATTCGTATGTCAGGAAGTAGAGACCATTAGAAGGCACATCTAAGAGAGGGAGCGACAGAGAGGCTGTAAACTCTTCCTGCCCTTTGTATTCAACAGTAAACACACAACGCTGACGGGACGCGGCCGCACTCATTTCCTCGCTTTCCACTCGTTGTTTATGTGAGCAACCGTGCAATGTGGCGTGCTTCCAGAGACGGGGAGTCACGCTGGCGGCTCCTCATTTACATACAGGAGAGCTTTAAGCTACTTTATGCAAATCAGGAGCGTCCGGCAGAGCGACACACCGCCTCCAGAAACTAATGAAAACTAACCCTGAAACTAACCCCTGTCCATCTAAAACAGTTGTTCCCAACCTGTTTTATCATTGAGTGAAGTAACAACAACCTCTGACTGATCAACATCATCGACCCAATTCTCTGTCTGCATTATGTATTTTATTTATTAGTAATCATCTTACAGACTTAACAGGCTTCTTTTTTGACAGATTTAGTGTTTTTCTTCTCCCTGAGTTGTTCTATTAGTACTTTACTAATGCAGTCGAGGCTGTTTATCAGACAGTGAGGACTGTGAATAAAGACTGTGTTCAGGTCTTTAAAGTTTAGATCTTAAATAATAATATATCAACTTTACAAATAACAATTTCATTTAGTTTTCCTCACAGAAATGAAGGAAATACTGAGTTTTCCGTAATATAAGAGAGTGTTTCCAAACTAGCCGCCATTCGTGGTTTTTCTTCATCTAGTTTTATCTTTATGACTTCCTGCTGTATAATCTTCTCTCAACTGCTGTCTCATTGCACCGCTGACCCTGTGTTAATATATAAGCTGCCAATGGTCAAACTACAAATGACCAATAAAACTGAACTGAACTGAACTTATTTTGAGGTTTTTCCATTTTATGCTACTTTATACTTCTACTGCACTGTATTTATTTGATAGCTTTAGTTTGCAGATCTGATTATTAATACAAAATAAAATGAATGAACTATTCTTATAGGTTAAACTACCCAGCAGCGTATGACGTGATTACAATGAGCTCCACATTTACCAGCTGCATCATTAAAGTGATGAACGCATTCATGCAGCAATAATTATAATTCAATAACATAATAAACATTATTCAGAAATGGGCCTTTCTGCATAATGAGTACTTTTACTTTTGGCCCTTGATGTTAAATATAAAATATGATTTGATATTCATATAAACTAACTACTACTTCATATGCAATTAAAATAAAAACACAGTTCTGTTTTTGAAAAAATAGATCCTCCTAAATGTGACACACTGGACCTTTAAGTGGGACCTCTGCACACTTCTTCCACACACACACGCAGTGATGTTTACCTCTGATGAGAGTCAGTACAGTCCCTTTGTAGACACTGCGGATCCCCTGCTCCTTATAGAGTCTGACTGCACAGTCAAGCGGACCCGAGTACCTCGCCTTGCCACTGCTAGCCTGCACCTGGAAAACACACAACCACAGAACTTTTACTTATGTTCAGTCACAAAAAGGTTATAGAGAATACACAATGAGTTCCTGACTGAGCGGTACCTTCCAAGTATTTCTCTTGTATTTGTTTTGGGCATCCAGTGGTGGAAAGTAACACATACTTAAGTACAAACTTAACATAATGGTACTTTTTTTCCAATTATCTGCAGCTTTTACAAATTAGAATTGTTGCATATAAACATGTGAAGATGCTTTGTTATGAATTAAACTATTTTGATAATCATCATATGCTACAAAATGCCAAAACATCCAATCATTCCACTTTTGCTGCTTTTAATTCTCTTAATTTGAATGTATTTGTAATAAATTTGAGGTCTGGACTTTCGTTTGGTTGTGAAGGTGTCACGTTGGTGACGGCATTTCTCACTATTTTCAGAATTTTTACAAGATCAAACAATCAATGGATTAATGGATTAATTAATTAATGAATCCTAATGAAAATAATCAT